CATAAGTATCGGTTAAGGTACTATCCACTTACGTTTATAACGAAAACGCGTTTTACGAGTGTCGTTCGTTCCATTGGCCCTCGAATATAAGAAAAGTATAAGTCATTCTATTACTGTACATACTACTTCGTTGTTACTTTGTTTTTTCTTCATTAATCTATCACCCGTTTACTTTTAATTATTACCTTTTATCGTATCATTTTTGCAGTTTGCGAAGCCTAATCAGAATGACAACACACCACAGGATGTGAATGATGAGAAAAATATTAAAACTATAATAAAGTGTGATACGAATTTTTTTACTTTTTACAAAAGAAATCAATTTCTAACTAATTTCCGTTTTCTTTCGATCGTGAGAATTTGAATTTGCATAAATACCCGTAGTCCACTGATGGTTCGCTTAATTATTTTTATGTCTGTTTTTTTCATTTTCAACGAGGAGAATCTAATTTAATCGTTACAAACTTTCATTCTGGCATTAGTGGTTCGGAGTAGCGATATACACGATACATTCAAAACTATCGATACGTATTGATTATTTTTTTAGTATCGATGCATACAATATATCGGACAGAACGTATCGATATTAATGCATATCGATACGATACTAGTAAAGAAAAAGAAACAAAAACATATCAGTCACAAAATTATTCCTTTTTTCAATTATCTAACATCAAGTGTAACACTCGTTGACGCATTATATTTTTATATGTATACACTGCGCGTTTACTTTTTTTTGTTTTCAAAAACGCGTAATTAAACACACATGCTTTAGAATATTTCTAAGATCTACATATTCGAAGAGCAATATCAAGCCGCGGAGTATCAATACACCGGTGTATCATTGCCTAAAATATCGATACAAAATATCGATATATATTTATGAACCGATTTTTCGATATTTACATGTATCGAGCATCACTAGTTCAGAGACCCGAAACACCTGTAGCAGGGGCATTTGAACTCGATACGGTCGTTTGTTGTTGGCTCTTATTTCACTCATTCTAGTGCGTTCCCTGCAATCTCTTTGTCACGCTGTGCTAGCCAATCTGATTCGTGGACGATAGCGATGGCGATACATTTGAATTGTATGAATATTTGGTATGGGTACATATTGATACCCAGAGTATCGATACACACATGTATATCGGGAATAAAATATCGATATTATTAGTATCGATATTCAATATGTATTGTTACCCAGAGTATCGATACACACATGTATATCGGGAATAAAATATCGATATTATTGGTATCGATACTCGCAATTAAATTAGATGCAATAAAATGGAAAAATGAAACTAAATCATTTATTTAAGCATATATTTACTAAGGCAAATTCTCAGGTAACAGTGGCGGAAAAGAAATCGACCTAAACTTATGGAAAGCTTGCGATTGGTCCATTTTCCTTACGATAATATATTATGGATTATATGTATAAATCATAAACATAGCAATTTTTTTAGAATAATTTCTATACCAATGGTATAAATATATTTATGGGTTAAGTATCGATACTAAAATATATCATCATATTAAATATCGATATTTGAATTGAAAGTATCGATATTCGATATTTGAAATATCGATATTGTATCGTATATCACTAGTGCATAGTACCGTTGTTTTCGCGCAAACTCACGATGAAACTATGTATGTAGTCAACGGAGGTCGTAAGTTCCCGCTACGATTGTTATCGACACCAAAATTCCGCGATTCCCTCATACAAATTAACGTAATAAGCAGACGGCGAACGTTTATGCAAATATAGATTTTTAGGGGTTAATCTACAAGAACTGAATTGAAACCAAGATCTGTTTACTTTATTTCCTATTCTACCAGATTCCAAAAAGAATAAATACATCTTTAAAATTCGCGCTGCGATTGGTAGTCAACGTTACCGCGGGAACTCGGCTGACAGACTCGCGCTCTGATTGGTCGGGGTTTTTCCTCAGAATCTCGTTAACGAAGCCTCGGATAACATTTTTGCTAAGGAAAAACTTGTTTTAAATCACCTCACGAGTCTCCCATTTCCGGGTCCTTCAATATTTTTGTTACACCCTGTATAGCAGACCTATCGCTTTAACACTAGAACTACCAAGCAAGTCAAAATGACTTGTCAATACACTCTTACAACGACGATTAAAATGTTATGACAATACATTTTCTCAGATCTTTTGCACCTTTTATTACGATATGAAAGAGAAGAAATTAGTCAATTTCTAAATTTCTAAATTTTCAAAAGTTTTTCACGTTTACCCATCGATCAAAGCAAATATGTGATTATCGTCGGTAGTTCTATTGTTAAGTACTTTTGCCCTAGAAGGAAACGCTGCCACAAGGGCGAAATTCTTGGACAGGCCTGCGCTAGAGTCAAAGTGAAGGCGGTTGCTAAAATACTGTGAATTGATTGATTGCCCTGACGCAGAACAAATCCATTGGATTTTCCAGGATATTGTGGTGGGGGAAATCTTTCCATCAAGACGATGAGTACACATCAACTCATAAAACTGGCCGTTCGAAGTTTGATTTGACCGCACTGAATTTGTGAATGTACTCGAGGGGTCCAGGTTTATGACCCTTTTCTTTCGGGTAGTAATGCACGGACAACACCGGCTGTCGACCAAATGTTAAACCGTTTGGCAAGAGGATTGAAAAGGAAAATAAATATATAAAGATGAAACGAAGTTTTGTTAGAGAGCAATAGCCTCTGTGATTGTACTGAAAAATATAAAATCAGAGAAAGCTATTTGTAAAGGGCTTTCATACACTTAAGATTCTAGTGGTAGTTTATGCCAGTTTATGGTACCAGGAGATTCGAGCAGCGCGTAAGTATATAACAATCGTTCTAGCCAATAATAAAAAGACGATTATCTTTTTGTCCTTTGTAAAGTAGTACGAGTGAAGGTGGACTACGAGGGGTAGAGGTTATACATATTTCGACCAACTGACCCGCACTCCTTGACTGTACCAACTCTGAACAGTAGTACACATTGAAAAATATGTAGATCCGGTAGTTAAGAGAATCACAAGCCTCTGCGTCATCTTCGTATCGAGTTACTCGATTAATCGCGCGCGGATAAAGTACGTACAGTCGGTGTCAACAGTATCCGTGCAGCCTTTAACACGTTGAGCGCCATGTCAGCCATCGGTGGCTGACACTAGACTTTCCGTTTAGGCCGCGTCACCCATCGGTGGCTGACAGCGTGTAACATGAGAACTATAAAATGTTATAACTATAAGCGTGGCCTGAACGGGATTGTCTTAGAAATACGCGTGGCGCTCAACGTGTTAAAACAGAACAACTTTTTTAAAATTGGTCCAAATGACTTACAACGCTAGTAACCTACTAAGTAGTAGGTACAACGTAACAACGTTCACCGATTTTGATGAAATTTTCAACATGTATATAACTAACATAAATCTTCAATATGTATTTATTAAATTTTCATTATAGCCTGAGATTAAAAAGTTGTAAAAAACGACCTTACTATTTTCTTCGCGATTCCAACCAATTGCAACTTCTTCAACTCTTTTTTTTGACACATCATATAGTACACTAATGTCTCTAACTTCACAAAATAACTCAAGTCATTTGGACCAATTTTAAAGAAGTTGTTCAGGTTTAAAGGGTGTACGAATACTTTTGATACCGACTGTACATACATGTATCCAAACAAGAATGACTGGTACACACATGTTATCGGCGTATTGATACAACGAAGTATCTATCAAGAAAAGATCAAATCTCTGAATAAAAGGTGAACTGCCACAAAAGAATCTAAGCAACGATAACGAAATCTTAAGATAAATTAGAGATGTAACAAAGAATTTCGTATCTTATTCTAATACAACTTCTGTTTTCTTTGTTTAATTGCGTTACTTTTAATTACTAGTTATCATGGAGGAAAATCGAGGATATTTTATCTTATCTTGGACTGGTCAAAATGGGATAAACATTTAAGAAACCAGAGGGATCATTTACATCAGTCAGGAATGATATTTTATCAAGTCATTGAGCAGTTTAACACTTTACCCAGTGATTGGACTCATGTTTTCGTCGAATCTAGTGAAAGCTTCTGAGATTTTTTCATAATATAAAACCATAAACAACTCGTTAAACCTAAAAATTAAAAAAAAACTAAGTTACTGTCAAATAAATATTTGTAACTCCATCTTTCACTATTGTTCCTATTATTTTAGTTAATACATTTCTTTTACGTCAGTTGTAATAATAATAAAGTTTCGTATTCTATTTTAGAGAAAATAAATATACAACAAAAACAACAAAAAGTGAAGAAAAGAGCAACATATAATTGAAGAAATAAGATAATACTGAATCAAAAATATCAAAAGTAGCGTAAAAGCTTCATAACCTAATATAAACTAATTTTTCAGTAAACATCAAAAACGATGGTTACTTCAATTCCTGCCCTTTATTTTCAGTCATTCTCAACTTTTACCTTCTTTCAGCGACAACACGTAAATACGAATTTTCATTCAAATGCCAAACAACAGTTTTCAACGAACACAAGAATATCGTGAAATGGAAGCACGATGTCATTCTTTTTTCCCATGAAAATGCCCGCAGCGGTGTTATCTACAACGAGAAACGGTCGTACGAACGCAACACGAGTTTAAATCATGGGAGAAAGTGAAAGGCAAAAAGAAAAAGTGTAACTTCCGTCACGAAGAAATGGCATTCGCGCTCTTGTTGCGTGTACTACCTTCATACAGGGTGGTCCGTCTAATGCGGTCATTACGAGCAACCTCGAAACTTGCAGTGGTGCGAAATTACTAGATTCAAAATATACGAAGATAAATTAAGTTGTAATTTAACAATTATAAATTAAAATACACGGATAATCCTACAATATTAATATATCAGAATAGATTTATTTAGGTGGTTTGAATATAAAACGTTTATGACTCAATTTGAAAAAATAGGTAAAAGAAAAATTGATTAAAGAAGAAATTAGAAATAGGGTCAAAAGACGAGAATGGGTAGTAAAAAATAGGTAGAAATTAAGATAAGAGAATGAAGAAGAGGAAAGTATACTTTACTAATTAGTTAAAAGATATCCACTGATCGTATCACGTTATTTTAGTTTATAGATATATTTAAAAAATATAAATTATATTATAATATTGTTTAACTTAATTTTCTTTTCATTAAGCATACATAATGTATTATTTATGTTAATGATTAAGACACATCGAAAGATTGACAATCGAAGCGGTGAACAGTCATAAATATCTGATAGATGTATAATATTAGATACAATCCGATTGCATCACAACAGGCTTTTGACGTCTGAATCTTCAAAGCGTGATATTGCGTGCGCGGTGCTCGCGATATGTCTAGCACGCTATTTCAATTATGCAATACGTGGACGCATAAAAAATGCAAAATTCAGCACGTGTATGATTGCAGAAGTTTCCGCAGAAGCAGCTGAATCACTTGAAAATTTTCATGTTTCATTCACGCGGTGCCAGAAACACGGTTTTCATGGATTGCGCGGCAAAATAAAAAGAATGAATCCTCCGTGTCAATATTTTTACGAGCCTCAACTTTCGATACACGGACTGCCCAGTGGTACACCCACGAGCAAACTCGGCTTCCACTAGGGGACAAAGTGGTGTAAAGGAAAAGTCTCCTGCCACTTACTAAATTTATGACAAGTTCGAAAATAAATGTTAAACCGAATATTAATTTGGCATAAATTTCAATAACTCCCAAAACTAAATGATAGGAGGCTCTTTCCGTACCTCACATTTTTCCCTAGCGGAAGCCAAATTTGCTCGTGAGTGTACAACCGAAAAGCAGGTGTTTTTGTGTGTAAAAAGAAATATACATATACAGTTGAATTTCGTTGGGCGAGTTTTCATGTACAAGAAAACTCAATTTGAGGATTCGCCTTGTACAGTATACAGAGTGTCCCAGGAAACTAATAGGTCAAATTCATATGTTTGTAGATTTCATGGTCATCGTTATTATTTCTTTTCTTTCAGTGGAACTCAATATTCTTTATAATGCGTATATGCGATATAACTTTGACATAACCTTGAGACGGAAACTGTATGTTATATCGACTATCGTGTTATTATGGGAACGTATAACTATTGGGTTGGCAAGAAAGTATTTTCGGTTGTGACACATAGATAGCGTTGTAAGCGTTTTGAAGGACTCCTGTCTGCGTTATGGTTTTTTCCTTTTGACATTTGATATCAGTCACATTTAGGTTACTTCAGAAGCAAGTTGTGTAAATTTTTGTTTGTAGCTGTTAGTTCAGGGTCAATTTTAACATGGAGTGCAAAAACGAACATTTTCGGCATATTTTACTCTTTTATTTTCGTAAAGGAAAGAAAGCTGCTGAGGCCCACAAAGAGATATGTGAAGTTTATGGTGTTGATTGCATAACAGATCGCACGTGTCAGAATTGGTTTAAAAAATTCCGTTCTGGAGATTTTTCACTCAAAGATGACCAACGTTCTGGTCGACCTACTGAAGTTGATGATGACCAAATCAAAGCCATAATTGAAGAGGATCGTCACATAACTGTTCGAGAGATTGCAGAGAGGTTAAATGTATCGCATACAACAATTGAAAATCACTTAAAATGTCTTGGACTCGCTAAGAAGCTCGATATTTGGGTTCCGCATATATTGAAAGAGATTCACTTAACACAACGAATCAATATTTGCGATATGCATCTCAAGCGCAATGAAGCCGATCCTTTTTTGAAACGTATCATCACTGGTGATGAAAAATGGGTCATGTACAGTAACATTATTCGAAAACGATCATGGTCCAAGCGTGATGAACCAACACAATCCACATCTAAAGCTGAATTGCATCAAAAAAAGGTCATGTTGTCAATTTGGTGGGACTACAAAGGTGTTGTGTATTTTGAGTTGCTTCCAAAAACCAGACGATCAATTCAGATGTTTATTGTCAACAACTATTGAAACTGGATGAAGCAATAAAAGAAAAACGGCCAGAATTGGCAAATTGCAAAGGAATTGTGTTCCACCATGATAATGCAAGGCCTCACACATCTTTAGTAACTCGTGGGAAATTATTGGAGCTTGGTTGGGAAGTGATGTCGCATCCCCCATACAGCCCTGATATGGCACCATCTGATTACCATTTATTTCGAAGTTTGCAAAACTCTTTGAATGGTAAAACTTTTACAAATGATGATGACCTTAAGTCGCACTTGGTTCAGTTTTTTGCTGATAAGGACCAGAAATTCTATGAACATGGAATCATGAAGCTGCAAGAAAGATGGCAAAAGGTCATTGAACAAAATGGAAAATATATAATTGATTAAAGTTTATTCTTTGTATAAAAAAAATGAGTTTTATTTCACACTACAAAACCGAAATTACTTTCTTGCCAACCCAATACATTTATGTTGTAGCCATAACCTAATTGTTTTATCAATCATATTATTAGACCCCGTAAACGTTACAACTTTTCCCTTTACAATTTTCTGATGTCCTCAATAACAACAGAGGTACATATTTGAAATGGTCATTGTAAATAGGACACCCTATAGATATATTTCTGTTTTACTAAACTAGTCTGGCTACGTGGTCCAGATTATTTTTACTCGTGTTAGTGCTTGTAAATAATGATAATGAACGTTATTCAGTTTGTATAATAATCAGTGCAAGTAGTGAATAATGAGGTATATATAATACGTCGTGTTTGACAACATGTGTGTGATGAATTTCCAAGTTCACATTTCTTGGAAAGAAAGTTTTATATAGAACTGTTTTATGCTGTATTTCTTATTTGCTTAAGAATGTGCCCTACATTCTGTACTGTTTTATAAGAAAAAAACCGCTCGACCTGATCGTAGACTTCCGTTGTTCGTATTCTCGTTTGGAATTTTCCCGCCATATACATACTATTCCCGGAAAATTCAAACATACACAACATAACGTGTGTCCCTAGAAAAACTGATGTAAATTCTTCACTGTGCAGACGAAAAAAAAGTTTTCGAAGGCCTTTCTCTACAGATTCAAAATCCCATTCGCTTATTGTAAAGTTTTGCAAAAGTACTTAAATTTTGTAGATAATAATATGATTCACTGATCAAATACATCAATTTAATTCTGTCTGATACTGTATCAACATATGCAATGTATACACAATGTAGATAAAACACCACACATGATATAAATATTTGATTATTTAGGTATGACTCATGATAATGAGTTTACAGCTTAAATATTTACTTGTGTGAGAGCAACATTTTTGTTCACTTTTGTTTTCTTTCAAACAAAATGTTTTACTGTGTGTATTATAAATATCACTGAAATCATGATTTTCTTTATTTTTCACAAGATATGTTATGTCTTTTTGTATAGTATATCAAATAATCACTATTTCTATACATATACAGTTATAATTACATAAGAGTATGGTTGGGAAATGATAACAGCAATCATAGAAGACATCATTAGATTGAATGTAGAAAATGTACAAGATACGGGAGAAAATAATCAAACAATGTACTTGAGATGGAGATACAATGAAGATAATTTTAATGTGTGACCTCATATTTAATTATATCTTTTCTTCAATGCAGACATAATACCTTAATCTGAATTGATCATAAATCAATTATATTTTATATTTGTACATGGATCTGTATGGTGTTAATACAGTGCTATGCAATACAGCTGTATGTCAATAATATAAAATGAAACATACTATTTCTGCAACATAATTCAATTAATATACATATAATGTATGCGTAAATGGAATTTCTTTTATACATTAGATTTCGAAAGATCTAGTTATATGTAGAGTGACTGTTATGTAATTTCGGTGTAAAATTTGCTAATCAATCTTATCATGCTGATAAATTTAATCTAACTAAATAATAAAGAAATATCGTAATTGTACAATATATGTCAGATGAAGCAAACAGTATTATAGTTAACGGAAGCGTTATATGATGTCTTCGATTATTTATGATATGTTTAGTATGCAAATTGTATGGCAAACTGATTGTAAAGTGCATCAAATCTTTCACTATTGATTATTTGTTTGATAATTGAATATTATTACGTAGTTATCATGAATGCTTTGATAGAAGAAAAATTTACACTAAATATATCGAATTTCTATTTGCTATCACTGCATAGAGGAAGTCGTGTTTCTGCTTTTCATCACATTACATGATTATTGCTCTTATATCATTATTTATATAACTGGTGGTAATAACACAAAACATTGTTATATATGTGAAAAGAAACTGATGTATAACTGAAGTAGTATACAATATAAGGAAATGGACCAGTTCTGAAAGCATTCAAATGTAGTGAATGAATAAAAGAATACATAAATATAATTAAACATTTTTTTTTAATCATAATATAAGTAATAAGTAAAAGTTTAATAAAAAATGTCTGGGAGTTCAATAATCAACATTGAGGTTCTTAGTAAAGTATTAATACATGTATTACAAAATATAATACTAATATTAAATGTACAAAAAGAAGAAAATTAAATTAGATTTTTCTTAAAATATTATGAGATGTGTGAGTTTAAAAGATGTAAAAAAAGCACACACATACACCAGGAAGTACATTTGCAATGGTGGTAGTAGGAGTAGTATATTTTTTGTAAATATAACATTCTTTACATACAATTGCTTTCAAAATGAAAATAAAGACAACTATTTGTGATTAAAAATATTATATTTGTGACATTCATGTTTTAATGAATAATCCATGAAAAATACTTGTACACGTTTAAATTAAAAAGAAGGAATACTATTCTCAATAAGTTGGGGTTAGGTATTATTAAAATAAAATATTACCTTCTTTAATTAACAATTATTTATAATTGGACAAATGATTTTCTCTCTGATAATCTCTATTTTGTAATCTTTTCACATTTTGGTTGATTTTGAATGAAATGATTCATTATCAATCAATTTTTTATTGAAATTATGTTTTAAGTAAAAGTACTAAAACAATTTTAATGATTAATTAATTTGAATATTATATTTAATTTTGTATTTTGAATAATTGTCGTCTATGTCTGGAAAAGATAATGATCCACATGATAGATTACATGAGCAGTGAAAGAATAGTTATTGTATAATGTATTAAAATTATTAAAAACAATCGAGACTCCCTCAATCCGAATCTAATAGAATAGAATATTTAGGGATAATTAAAATTGAAAATTATACGTTATAATTTAAACTAGAAAAAAATACTGAAGGAATAAAAAATATTTCAGATTTGTTGTAAACAAATTGGTTGAATGTGTACCACGAAATTTACAAGCCCTTATCAGTTGTACAAATGATGAATTTTACGAAAGAAAGTCTGTGATCGTATTTTGTTACCGCCCAAATAATTGCTTCCTTGTTTGATAAAAAAACAAAACTTGATTTTTATAGTGATAAAAATACTGAATCCTACCAATTTGGCAGTCATCTATCATCCTTTCAAAAGTTAATCTTCTGTCAACTTTACAAGATTTCAGATTAAAGTTATAACTGATGAGATGTTTTAATCTAAAAGGAATTTAAATTGGTACTCCTATTATAACATTTTTGTTATAATATTTCTCGAGCCGTATTAGGTGTGAACTATACTACATATTTCTTTATAGATAATTCAATAAAAAACGCGAATGCATAAATATACCTATTTAGTACTTTAATTCCCAAAGAATTTTCATATTTATTTTCCTGTGGATTCAGTTTAATCGATTAACTTATCGAGCAATTGTGTGTATAAAACTTTTTAGTTAATCGATCTAATGATCTCCGGTATTTTTGTTTGTTCAAACGAGATCTCACACGCACACTGCTTGCTTTTATTACTACCACCACAAGTGTCACTACCACCTGTTGAAATGTACCATTGGATTTACCTGAGGAAGCGTTTTCCGATCGAGTGAAATTTGAATTATTCGTTGCGCCTTTTCCGGGAGAACTTTTTTAGGTGAAACAACCGTAAGCGACGTGATTCCCACGTGACCGCACTTTCTGTATTTTCAGTTTTATTCCTCGGCACGTTGCACTCGCGTTAAAATGATCTAGACACGACAGGTTCTCGGTATTGCGGAAGATCGATATACGTAACGACGTATGTGTGTCAGATCCGTCGATGTGAAAACACATCCAACGATTCAGTCCGGCTGGCCGTGTCGTCAGACGCGTCAGACTTCGCCTGTCGAATCTCCGAGCAGAACGTATTTTTTCCGGATATGCGAATACATGAGTTAATCCAAGCACAAGGAGGATGGATGAGTGTGAAGAACAAAGAACGATTGTAGGATGAATCCGTTCGCAATACGCAGCCGGAAGGTTCTTCTGTGCGCGGCCTATTTGAATTGCTTCACGGCTCACAACAAGTTGTCGTTGACAACAAAGCGTCATTTAATATTTTTGCTGGTTGTGATATTTTAAAGTAATCAAACATTGGGCAAGTAAATAAATGAAACACCACATTTTTATGTCATTGCTTACTTACAAATGGTGACAAATTTCTATTAAAACTAAAGCAATTGTCATAAATATGTACAAAAATATTGTAATATCATCTTAAAATATATATGCACTATAGATGTGTTTCCATATGTGTAAACTTAAGAAAAAAAAGTAGAAATTTAGATTCTTGTTGTTCGATTTATGGTATATAGTGTATAAGTTAATACTCTATTACCAAATTAGAACACTCAAAGCACTTGTTTTTCCTCCGTTTCCTTTTAAGATTTTCTGTTTGAGAGTTCAGAGCTAAAATAAATACACTTAGTAACTTCGAAAGGTACTACAAAAGTTATTTATAAACGTTTGGAAACTTTACATACTTATTAAGTCTGAACCGATGCTGATTGGTTTCTGTTCTACATTCTGTAACTCATCTAGTACCATAAAGTGAAAGGACAATACAGCGACTCTTGTAAAGAATTCTGATACTCCATCTCCTGTTCTAGAAGATACAGCCCAAAATTCAGCTTTTATTTTTTGTGCTACTTCGATAGCTCGTTTCTCTATTATTCCATATATCTGATTGGACTGAAAATGTTATTAAATAATTACTAACAACTATTGTTATTTTACTGTTATAAAACAGTATCAAATTCTTTTCTATTAAAACTTATCAAGTTATCAAAATTATCTGTATGAAAATTTTTTTATTTTTCATAAATCTAAAAAACTATGTACTTTACCAATAAGTCTCGTTTTGTGCCTACTAAAAACAGATGGTATGGACCTATATTACTTCTAGCTGCTTCAGACAACCATTGCTCACAATGTCCCAAAGATATCAAATTGCTCAAATCAAATGTGACAATGATTACTAAAAAAATATCTGTAGATAATTTACAAATATAAAGAGAAATATAATAGAAAGTAGACTGTGGATATTATACATTCATATAGTAAATATATAGTTTAAAATAAAAAATAGTAAATTGATTAACAAAATTAAAAGCTGTTTTTACTTTATTTGTTTGAACCCACAATATAGTAAACAAATTTTCCTTTGATTCCAATTTCTATAACTTACAATTACCCTATACAAATCTTTATAAATACCCACAGTTTTAACTAACAGTAATTTTTTATACCGTTTGCCCCTCTATAATAAGATGCAGCAATGGATTTAAATCTTTCTTGACCAGCTGTATCCCATCTAAAATAAGAGGACTATAATTAATAATTGTTACAGTGATTATTATACAAAGCGCTCCATAACATCTGCTATACACTTGAATGGTGAACGGAGAATATAAAAACAATGAAAGTAGTTCATGTAACTGTGTATTCTATTTGACCTTGTTCCTGATTACATTTCCTTTTGTACTTTAATAGTGAGTAACTGCTCATCTTCAAACAAAGTGTTTCTGGTATAAAACCTCTCACACATTTGATCTGAAAGCAATGTTGCAATCCTGTGTCATAAGATACCAACCTCTCAATGGTTTCTTTCAAACAAAGAATTAAAACAGAATTTGTTACATATAAAAATGGCTGCAATTTGATAATAATTTTTTTATTGATATAATAATTAATATACTAACTTTCTTCATTGTTTTTATGTCTTCTGTCTACATCCAAAGTGGGTTCCGCATGTAATGAACCATCCTTATATTTTGAAAATGCATAAGATCCCTTAAGAAGTATTATATAAAATTTATCCTTGCTGCTTTCTCTAACTAACATTTTTAAATTATCTAATGAAGTATACATAATGATTGAACACTTACATTTGTAAGTGAAACGGGATGCTAAGAATATCAAATCTTTCCACTTCGAAATCTACCCCTATCGTTGCTTTGTAATTAGTATTAAATGTTTTATGACAAAACCTGTAATAGAATCGACATTAAATTTTCGTGTAATGTTACATTTGTTTTTTATTACATGTGTAATAAATGTAGTTACCGATTTACTAAACACGATTTTCCGACCGAAACGTCGCCGATTATTATCGCTTTAGCAATTCTTAAAGATATACTTTTCGTTGCACATGAGCGCCTTACAAGCGTACAAAAGTTTCTTTCATTATATGGGGTGACGTCTGATGAATATGGTGGTGGCCAATTGTCAATCTAAATAAAATTGCGTCTTTAGTAATATACGGCGAATAATTAGTAATTATGATCATCATTCACTGATAAATTATTATATTATTATATAATTATTATTTAATATTATAAACAATTATTTTAGTTTATGAAGTTCAAAGAAATCATTAAAAATAAATATAATTAAGTTAATAAAAATTATTATAAATCTTCTTCTACTGCAAAATTAATTTTGTTACTAAGAACTTTTCATATAGATTAAATTTCATTAACATTCATAAATATTTTTTCAATAATAATGTATCGATTAAAAAATTATATATTTTAAATCATACCTGCCGTTCCTCCCGCGCAACTCCTATCATTTTATAAACAGCCGAACGCGTTTCCAACATTATTTACACTGTATGTAATTTCACTGATATTAATTGTAGATTGTGCTGTATAACAGCAAGATTATAAATGTAGTATTACATTTATGCGTATGTATTATGTTACACACAAGTAATTTTTGGACTTTATCAAATTATTGTATCTAAAAGTGTTGTTTTATAGATTTAAACTACAAGGCTTCAGAGAGTAATAATGTGTTACAAGTTGCACCCCTATCGTTGCTGAAAATAATTTTGAACTGAGGGAAAACATTGGTTGCTGTGGCAGGTGTATGTACACCCCCTCTGTTCCTTGTACACGCATGACACGCACCAACAAGATATGTATGGTGTCTCAAAAAATGGTCAAATGATTTAGGGGCATAAGTACACATTAAAATAAGTAAAAAATGTTCCTCAAAATGGGTTCGAAAATTTATCTTAAAGAACCCAGATAACACGTGACGCCTTGAAGACGGTTTAAAGACGTCTTAGACCTAAAAAATTGATATTTTAATACAAGAATAATTTTTATTATGCAATATTTATATATGTATTCAGTATTAATAAAAACTTAATTATTTCACTCGGTTTTTATCCTTCTGCTTCAATGTTTTTTATCTAATAATTTTAGAACCATTTTCATATTTTATTTGGATGTCTTCGAAATGGTTTTTTAATATATTTTAAGGTCATTCTATGGTTAATTGGGCGCTGGATTAAACAATATTCAGATAAATGGCATTTTAATAATAAAGGATCTACGATAATTGTATATTTTGAGAAAATTCATTAAATTTTAATAAACTCATATTTCCATCAATTAGAATTACAATATTGAATTTGTATATCAACAATCAACGTAGTGGATCGATCTTCCAGATGTCTATTTCCGGTCCGTGTTGTCGTTCTTTTTAGCAAAATGGCTCCAAAACCGAAACCTACGGACAAAGCAGGTACATACTAAAAGTGTAAATAGAACTTAAATTGCATCGAAAAGATTACAGAAATACTATATGAATAGATAATCAATGATCAATGCAAATATATTTATAAAACGAGTGATGCAAAACTTTGTTTAATAAACGTGTGTTCGCTTGGAACCTCAGCCATGTGGTCGGCCTTATATGTGTGCTTTGAGAAAATATCAACATTTAATATAGTTGTGTTGTTACTGCAAATATTCTTAAACTTTTATTTTACATACTTAAACTATTAATATGAAGTAAAGGTAGTTTACGAAATTGTGATATTTTGTGATTCTGTGTGGTTATTATAACCTGAAAATGTTCGTACTGTGTTAGTTTACAGATCCAATTACCAGAGTGTAGATAATCAATAAGTTCGAGTTGAAACCACTAAACTTTAAACATTTAATTAGTGTATTATGGTTTTCTAATGTAATTTATTGCTTTCCTTTCTGTAGCTGGCAAACCGGCTGAGAAGAAAACAGAAAAGAAAACTGAGAAGAAGCCAGCAACAGCTGCTTCCACAACAAAGGTGACAAAACCAGCTGCCAAGCCAGCAGCTGCAAAAAAAACAGCAGCAGCAAAATCAGCTGGTGCAGCAAAGCCTGCAGCTAAACCAGCCGCGAAGCCTGCGCCTAAGGTTGCTGCCAAACCACTAATCAGTAAACCTAAGAAGAATGTCCAAGCTGCGAAGAAAACACCTAAAGGCGGAAAGTCAGCTGCATCTCTGCAGAAGGCACTTAAAGTACAGAAGAAGGTTAGTATGCATAGTATCATTTAAAAAGATGCATAGACGATTTTGATAACAGTTTGATATGTTCTATGTGTTAGCAATTGTCCACTGACCCCTTGAAAAAAAGACTCGATTACACAAAACAAGATCTTGTACATGTAGCTCTTTTACCATTGTTTAACGTTACTTCTTAAATGTACAGAAAATCGTATTGTCTACTACAATATTAGCTCATCAATACATTTAGGGACATAGTTGCTATCAAGAATCTACTATATTTTGTATAAAAGGTGTCTTTGTGATGAAATACATTAGGGAATCTCTTTGAATGTTTATGATAACAACTTTAACATAGATCTGATTTGACACAAGTATAATAAGTAACATTGTTGTAGCTAAGAATATACTCAAAATAAATGTATCTATGTTCTACAGATATTGAAGGGTGTACATGGATCAAGAGTGAGGAAAATAAGGACGTCAGTACATTTCCATCGGCCAAAAACATTCAGGCCGCCAAGGAATCCTAAATATGCTAGGAAATCTGTACCAAACAGGAATCGGTAAGTTCTACTAAGAATTAAATATGGATATTACTATTTAATATTTAAACGGCCGGTAAAGTATAAATACCCATAAATAAGAGACGATATATACGTGTCGCCATTTAATTTTTTTTTTAAAGTATATTTCAAATATTTTCTAGAAAAATTGAATATATGCCGAATATGTAGAATTATTTTTTAGAAAATTATATTTTTCGTCATTTCAGCATGGACGCGTTTAACATTATTAAATTCCCATTGACTACTGAGGCTGCCATGAAAAAGATTGAAGAAAATAACACGTTAGTTTTTATCGTACATACCCGTGCAAACAAGTACCATATCAAAGCATCCATCAAAAAGTTGTACGATGTTGATGTGGCTACAGTTAACACGTTAATCAGGCCGGACGGGAAAAAGAAGGCGTATGTCCGTTTGACGCGTGATTACGATGCACTTGATGTTGCTAATAAGATTGGTATAATATAAATATACCTCCACGTGACGTATATGGAAGAAAGGATATATCTGTACTGATAATAAATATTGATATAAAACCAGCTTTAGTCTCTTGTTTTTACTCCAATTTGAGACTCTCTGTGAATAGCGTTGAGTCATAAAATCTCCGAGTTGAATGCTTCGCGGAAAAATGATCTTTTTGCATAATAAATTATACGTAGATCTGTATAAAAAAAATTTATCTTTAAATCTTTATATACAAAGTATTCATACAATATCTTACAATTAATGCAAATTGTAAGATACGAAGTTTTAAATTATTTGTGTTTAATTATAACTATAATACAGTGGATTTCTCTAATAAGGGAATTACATGAAGTATCACGGCACGAATTTGAATGAAACAGCACAGTATGTTACGAAATTAACTACTCCCGGTGTGTCAGATTAAAATGATTATAAGTTTAAACGAATTTTTATTCTTTCCTAATATGAAAAAAAAAAGTTATCAAATATTTGTTCACATAATTATTAATATTATTATTTCCATAATTTTAAACAGTGTTCGACAGAAGTGTGCCTTCTGTATTTAGAAAAAACACAAACCTAAAAGTACACATGTTATTAAAATAATTTTTATTGCTAAACATTAGTAAACCATCAATCGTCAATGCAAAATAATATAAACCGGTACGTTAACAGAATTCACGTACTTCCCTTAGTAGAGATATAAAAATTTTCATTATACATTACTCTTAATATTTACACACATCAAGATTCCAATTACAATCCTAATCTACCTGGAGTTTTACGGTACGGAGCGGGTGTTCCTGGTTCTCTGATACCAGGGGTCAATATTTCTTTCCTACGAATAGAATAATGTAAAATATAATATACGTAAAAAAAAAGAATAAATACTAAATAATCTCAAGGTAACTTACTTCCTAATAGAAGCTTGCTCCCGTTCAAGTTGTTCCTGGGCCCTAGCCTTCATTTCTTCTTCCGCTTCCTTCATCTGTCCCTCCATCTCGTGCAAATGTTGCATCGCTTTTCTCCTCTTCGCGCGTCCGCTTCGGCCGGTTTCCTTCACGCTAAAGAACATAGGGCCGAGCTCGGCCAGCCAGTGCCCGTCAACGGCTGTGACACACTGCATGTACTCTTTGGCCGTCATAACAAGCTCGTGGTACACCACGTAGTCAGGCGTGAAGCCCATACCTCATTCCTGTACGGCAGTTAACGTACTCGCCGATGCCCTTCAATCGAGCAGCTTGATGGAAATACGCAGAACAGATACACTTCCTGACGATGTCCCAGTCGGTACCGCAGCTAACAACCTCCATCTTTTGTTGCTTCAGAATTTCTTCGAGCTGCTGCCGCACTTCCCGTACTTTTCGCATAGCCTTTGCATGGATGAAGTGATCGTTGCACCACGAACTGGAATAACCGTTCGCTTTCCATTGATTGTACACGTTTAAATACGTCAAGTGATCGGATTCTGGTACTTGAAACTTCTCCCGCGCTGAATCCGAATCTTCTTCGCGGCCCTTCGGTCGGTAAAATATCGACGGGACGGATAACATTGAAACTGAAACAATATTTTCAATGAGATGTATCGTTTAAGAAACCAAATATCGTAATGAAATGAATTATCGATAGATTGTACATTTTATGCATTTACTGCTGATTTGATTGTTGTACGATTTGGTACACTACAAATGTTAATAATACTCAATAAGGCTTTTATTCAGGTTGGATTCTTGTGAAATCTAACTGAATTGAACAAGATTCTGTTCAATTTTGTTTTCTGTGAATTAATCAATAATAATCTATAGTGTGTCTCAAAATAGCTTCGAATCCCGGAAATGAGGGATTCCTGGGATGATTTGGAACAACTTTTTCCTTAACAAAAATGTTATCCGAGGCTTTGGTAACGAGATATTAAGGAATAACCCCGACCAATCAGAGCGCGAGTCGGGGTTTTTCGTTAATATCTCGTTAATAAAGCCTCGGATAAGATTTTTGCTAAAGAAAAAGTTGTTTCAAATCATCCCAGGTACCCCTCATTTCCGGTAGTCGAAACTATTTTGGGACATCCTCTATATTTATATACATAACCCATTCGTAGTTTAATCCGAGCATACCTATGATAAGTATATCAGCAGTGCAACCAAGCTGGGACGCGACAATCAGCATCTGACACTGCGGCGGATCCAAAGGAAATTCTGCCATCTGACGTCCCAAAGGTGTCAGACGTCCCGTGTGATCCAAAGCGCCCAATATCCACAACTGATACAACGAATTCAATATATTGTCTTGCGGCGGAGGATCCATGAAGTGGAAAGCTAGCAGGTCTTGTACACCCAAAGACTTCAGGAGTAACACAGTGTTTGCTAAATTGGTTCGCTGGATTTCCGGAACTCCAGTTAGGAGTAATTCGTCCAAGTATTGTCTCCGTGTGTATAACCTAAAACAGGTGCCGGGACCAGTACGTCCAGCTCTTCCAGCTCGTTGATCGGCGTTCGCTCTGGATACTGGGTACACTTGCAAAGCGTCCATACCGATTCGTGGATTGTAAACCTTTAATTTGCAGTAACCAGAATCGACAACGAACACAATCCCGTCCACGGTCAACGATGTTTCCGCTATGTTCGTAGCCACGACGCATTTCCGTAGACCTCCCTCGGAACGCTGAAAAATTTTCGCCTGCAGGTCCGAGGGCAACTGGGAATAAATCGGTAGAATCGAAAGCAAAGGAGCCGATTCGATCTCCGCTAATCGTTCCTTCAACGCTTCGCAGGTGACCTCGATGTCCTCCTGACCAGGCATGAATACTAATACATCGCCAGATCGCGGTTGCAAATGAATCTGCAACACCTGCTTCACCGCGGCGTCCACGTAGTCCTCTACTGGATTTTTCGCGTGCAATATCTCCACTGGAAATGTACGACCTGGAATCTGGAAGGTCGCCGCATTCCCGAAGAATGCTGAAAACTTGTTGGAATCCATCGTGGCGGATGTCACGATCAACTTTAAATCATGCCGTCGTGCTACGACCTACAATGCATATTTAAGTAATTAGTGATCGTGAAAGAATCAGAAAGCTAGTGTTATCGAAGCACGTGATATAGCTAATATTAAAAATATTTACTTCTCTGAGCAAACCGAACAACACATCAGTGGATAAGGATCTTTCGTGAGCTTCGTCCATAATGATAACGCTGTATCGATCCAAGTCTCCCTCTCTTAAGCTTTCTCGCAATAAAATACCATCGGTCATGTATTTAATAACAGTCTACAAAGATCGATACGAATTAAAGGTATATAATAATTTAAGTAATTTCGGTAATAGTGTACAATTCGGTCGGTATCTCCGCTTTTCTTTAAACTTTAATATATTGAAAGGAGCCCTTTAAAACGGCAAAATATCATTTTAAGAAATGTTGCAAACAATTATAAGTACCTTTAATTTTAAGTTAAATTTGTAACCGAAATCTAACATCACTGCATACATGTAGGTTAAATGAAAAAACATGAAAAGTATTATACTGATCAGAGTTGGTTAGAGCTAATTTAATAAAAAAAAATACTTTCCAAAATTGTTTGTCACATTTTAAAAAATATTTTGCCTTTTTAAACAGCCCTGTTCGACATATTCAAGTTTGAAAAAAATCGTAGATACCGATCGAAATGTATACTATTACCGTAATTTCTATTAGAACTGACAGCACAAGTTGAAGGTATAATACGTACATCTTTCGAAGTACAGTCTTCGAAACGAATAGCGTAACCAACTTTATCTCCTAATGTAGTAGCCATTTCATCGGAAACTCTCTTGGCTACAGACATAGCTGCTACTCTTCTGGGCTGTGTACACCCGATCATCCCGTTACGACTATAACCATCTTCGTGAAGATACTGTGTTAATTGTGTAGTTTTTCCGCTACCGGTTTCCCCGATTATAACCACCACACTGTTCTCCCTGATTACGTTCAACAATATTTGACGGACAGCGAATACTGGTAAACTTCTTCTCTGATGCTGAATGGATCTGTATTTCGCTTCCCCGGTGACTTCATCGGCTCCAATGTGACGGGCGTATTTCTGGCCAGCTTTGAAATCGTGTTCTTGGCCCGGATCTTCTTTGTCTTCTTTACTTCTATCACGAACACCCATAATATTGCCAATATGAGTTCCAGCTAGTTCCCAATGCTTCTTCTGGGCTCTACGCCGTTCTTTTTGTTCACGATATGCTCGCACCAGAGCTGATCCTTTTCTAGCTACAAGAGCCATATCCGAAGTGGGATCACGCACAGGTACGACAGGCTCTGGTTGCTTGGTGAATACAATTCGTCCTGAACAATTTAAACAATTACTTTCATGCTACAGTATATAACAAATTATACATATAAAAGTGGGTAATAGCACAGACGAGATATAAATATAGACCTAACATCTTATGGGACTTCGTGTCCCACGAAAATCGTGCTGGTTCGAGCGCACCTCTACATAAAATTTTCCGATTTCAGGAACTACATTCGACACTGTGATAACATGCAGCACATACACACCCGTGATTGCATACAGCGATACATACATACATTATTGTCCCGGTTTCGCTAGGAAGGAATGGAATACTGAGATAGTACGGGGGCTTCTGACGCCCCTAAAGCATGGGACAGAAAATTACATTGCATGTTAGGTCTATTCTTATATCTCGTCTGTGGTAATAGTGTACAATTCGGTCGGTATTTCCGATTTTCTGTAAACTTTAATATGTTCTAAGGGGCTCCCTAAAAAGGCAAAATATTATTTTAAAAAATGTCGCAAACAATTCTGAAAATTCTTGTTCTTTTTTATTAAACTAACTCTAATCAACTCTGATCAATATAGTGCTTTGAATATCTTTTATATATTTATAGTGACGTTTAGGTTAGGCATCAGTTACAAATATAATTTGAAATTAAAGCTACTTATAATTGTTTGCGACGTATTTTAAAATGATATTTTGCCTTTTTAGACAGCCCCTTTCAACATGCATATTGAAGTTTGAAGAAAATCGGAGATACCGACCGAATAATACACTATTACCAAAAACTGAAGTTTCTTAGAAAATACGTTACCATCCAAAAATGGTGGAACAACATTATGAACTAGAAGATGTACTCTGGTCTCTCCTTCGTCATCAAAATCATCATCGTGGTCTAGAGAACTTACAACACCAGATGTTAACATTCTGTTACGTTCCCATAATTCATTGTCCTTATTTATTTGTCTCTGCTGTGCGGATAGACGTTTCTGCCTTTTCGCTTCAAGTTCCATTTCTTTTTTTCGCGTGTATTCCTCAGATACATCTGCGAAAGCGTGATTTTCTCCGTCATCTAAGGCGTACCATTCCCTGTCCAATCTAAAGACAAATATTTCATTTTTAGTCGTCACAATAAATAGAAGCATGCTTGAACGTATAATGACCATAAATACCTTTGTTGCTCTTCTTCCCACAGTTCTTTCTCTTCTCCATCTACCATAGGTGTAGCACCACTAGCTTTGTCTTTATTCCAAGAATTATATTTATACGAAGGAGTGAATTCACTCCTGGTACTCTCACGACCATCTCTGCTACTATAAAGATTCGGCGTTGGATGATCCCAACTTGAGTTTCTTGGTTCTTCATCTTCGTCATCATCCCAATTACTTCTGGAGGTTGGATCCTACGAGAGCCGAAGAGAATACAATATAATAATTTATATTAACACGTTGTCTGCCACAGTAGAAAAGGCAGTACGTAGCCAGACACTCTTTATTTCATTTTGTAAGTTATAAATCTTTGAAAATATATATGCGTTTGATTAATAGAGATTGCTTGTCTTGTTTTAAATTATACTGTGATATTAATGTTATGTCAAAATTTTTTAGGGGTATTTAAATAATCCAGCATGTTTGCAATGTTTCAACTACGAGTTATCTCGTAGCTGGCAGTCAATGTGTTAAGGAAAAGTGATAACTTTCATATTGGTTACACTGTTGAGGAATAACATATTTATACCATTCATATAACAGACAATATTAAGTTTTATTTTGTTGCTTCTTAGTATTACTTTTATCATGTAGATCACCTTTCCAAATAGACTTATGATTTGTAAGTTGAAGACATAATATGTATGTGCACTTTTTACACGATAAGCATAAACAGTTCAAAGAGGAATCAAAATTTGATATATGAAGTACCTAAGACATACCATACTCAGTTCTATATTTACCTTTGTTTTAAATATCGGTGTCTGTGGTTCATCTTTGAATCTTAAAGGTGTCTGTCTAATGCTACCTCTGCTTCTACTCCTTTCTTTTTCCCTGTCCCTTTCTCTACTTCTGTCTCTTCTTCTAGAGTCACTATCTCGACTATGATCCTTGTGGCCACGTCTGTGATGCTTGTCCTGTGCACTTAACCTCTGATGTTTCAGTCGTGTCTCTAATCTCTGTTGAGCCTCCGAATTCACGCCACCAGTATGAGTTGGTGTTTCCTCAGCATACGATCTATATTTTCTTTCTTTAACCTCTGACTGTGGTGAATTTGATCTTGACGAATTCGACTCCTGGGCATTTTCTTGTCGTTTTCGTTTCGCAAGTTTATCGAGTCCCAAAACAGACATTTGTGGCTTTTTAAATGTGTGGTCGGACGGTTTCTTCCGAATAATCAGACCTGCAGTCTGATTTTTGTCAGTACCCTCTAACCTATATAAATTTGGATCGCTGGACGTGTCCATTTTTACTGAATGTAACACTCGTAATTAGGAACTTCAATAATTAACGATGCAAGTGCGTGTCATATCGTTTCTCATTATGTCCGTACTACGCAATTATGTTGAAAACTGTCATACCATTTTGGAGCATAATAACACAATCCACTCCTCTATTGACACACGTAAAACGAGTAAAACTGAAGCCAACTCAAGTCAACTGAAGTAAAACCAGTAAAACATTTAGAAACATTCCATAGATCAGGGGTGGCAACTGGTGACAACAGCCAGAATTGCTAGGAGCAGCTGGGGCCCCCAGCCTGGGGGTAGCTACGTTCGTGGACCTGGCTACGTTTAACTACGTTAACCATGAATTTGGAGAATTTTTGTAGACGTCTCAGTAGTAGTCATGTTTCCACGTAGTCAAACTGTGAAATCTGGTTAGCTGAGGTTGCTGGAATCTAAATAGTGTTAGGAACCCTGACTATAAACGTCCATTTTTGTCTATTGTACCCTTAACGGCAAACGGCATAAGCTTGGAAAGCGTGTAATTTGAAATATTATGAATATTTGCATTCTGTTACTACGGTTGTGTGGAGTCATATATGTAATTAATAATTTTATGGCATGAACATGATTCATTCGAGGAACAAAGAAATGTTGTATTACCTTAGTAACTAAAAAGGAAATGTTATCAATTGTATTTCGGAAGCCAAACCGAATAGACCTATATTATATTAATTAGTAAAATTGTATTCAATATCATTTTATTAAAAGTTACATACATATTTTTAAATTATAATTATATTAAAGGTGAATAATTAATTTCACCAATTTCCGTCTGAATAATAGCGTTCGTTATGTATGGTTATGTATCATTGCGTATTCTTGCGGATAGTTTAAAGTTTAAAATATTCAATTTTTCTATCAATGTTTTTAGTTACTAATGTTTAAAAATGAAATTACATTTCCGCTACAATGAAGCACGGATTAGCGTTATCTATCAAGGAAGATACGGTTCTAATTGATTAGCATTTTGACCTTTGTATCGTTGATGGCGTTGGAGATCATTTTATAACATTTCATTACGTATAATTAATTATTAATTAAAAGCACAACAATTTATACTTGATCATAATCAGTGGAGAAGACATCAATGCACAGTCAGACAACAAATGACTTCATTTTTTATAAATTTTTCATGATATTGAGTTCTTTTTGTGTTTATTTGAATTTTTTTAATTTCTGAATTTTCTAGTTTAAATAATTTTCAAGATATACAATGTTAAATTTTGAACTGAATTGTATGTGAGATCTCTGGTCGCTAGAGGACTTAGCCGATGTTCTCCCACCACAATTCTTTTTTCAAATTTGACTAGTTGTAAATTACATTTTCTACCATGAATTCGTCTATTTTTATTTAGTATCTTACATTTGTTAATATTTTCAACTCCAAGTATGCTTATTAATAATCAACGTTCGTGTATTTTCAGTTCTAAACTGCGTTTTATATATGTATATGAAACATGTGTGCCCCAGATGGTTTGAATGTTTGACATTTCAATGCAGCAATCTAATTGGCTGACTCGAAGAGTAAACGAAAAGTTACCGGGGAATCTACACGCTTTGTGCATTATGGCAGTGGAAGTCGCGATAATGAGTGGTTACTGGCGGGAAAGATTCGCACGTATTTTGTAGTAGTTGCTGGATTCTCTAGTATGTTCGACGTGTGTTAAATATTGAAATAAAGTAATAGCAATTATGCTGTCTTGATTCGTAACAGAGTTTGTAAGTCTTGTGATGTTTAAAAGTATTTCGTGACAATATCGATATCTGCGAAAAAAATGGCGTTTGCAACCGTTGATGTTGCGCGGTTATTTGAATGAGTTTACATTTCATATGTAAGTAGATTGTAAAACTTTGGATACCATGGAGAGTGCTTTGAAGAATAGCAAAAAGAGAAAATCACTGAATTCCGAGGAGATTCACTCAAAACGGTCGAGAGGGAAGGAAAATACGCCTGACTTTTCACAGGATGTAAGGGTTAGCTTGAATTACGTTTCCAACTGAATAATTAACATTTTATTAATAGTTTCTTTACGTGTGTTGCAGTGTAAGGCTGGGAAAATAAAAAAAATTCTTGTGCGAAATTTTATGTGTCACGACGCTTTGGAAGTCGTATTAAATCCAAATGTGAATTTTATTGTTGGCCGTAATGGAAGTGGTAAAAGTGCAATATTGACAGCATTAACTGTTGGTCTTGGTGCCAGGGCAAATGTCACTAGTCGTGGAGCATCTGTAAAAGGTATAAACATATTTTACTAAATATTGCTGAGTGTTTTTGGTTGATTCGATGTTTTGAAATGATTTATTTATGAAAGATACACTGAAAGATAAAATTCTTTTCAATGCTATCAGTGTCAGTAATGCTTTTTTAAATGGAATCTGAATCATTTCTATTGCGTAGTAATAGTTAAAGATAAGACAAATATAATGATTAAGACACACTGATATCTTTTACAGTTTCAACAGTAATTTTACTTAATTTATATATTATGGATAAGTCTTTTACAAATATCATAAAAATCAGACTGAATAAATCTGATTAAACTGCAATTGACGATTATAACTTTTTTAAAGTTGTTTAATTAAAGTTTATTAAAATGTTTTTGTAACATAATTACTTCCTGTACAGGCTTCATAAAAAAGGGCAAAAATACAGCCACAATTGAAATTACATTATTCAATAAAGGACCAATGGCATATAAGCCAGATACTTATGGAGATTCAATAATAGTCTTACGTACTATTGGAAGTTCATCCTCTTATAAAATAAAAAATTGGAGAGGTCTGTATTTTTGGAATACCCTGTATGCAGTACAAATAACTGTAGCGTTGAGTCCTTGTTTAAGCTATTTAAATTATACTTATTAAATAATGTTTAACAGGAGACGTGATTTCAACAAAACGAAAAGAGCTTGACAATATACTACGAGCAATGAATATTCAAATAGACAATCCCATTTCAATTCTGAATCAGGACATATCAAGAACATTTTTAGTGTCATCTAAGCCAGAGGAAAAGTATGAATTATTTATGAAAGCAACACTTTTGGATGTGATTGGCAATAATTACAAAGAGGCCGACTTAATATGTCAAGAGGAATACAAAAAATTGCAGCAGTATAACGAAGTATTTATTCTATTATATATATTTTTGTGAAGTAATAGCTGTTTCCTTTTATACTTTTTGATAAATTTTTGTACAGGTCTTGTCAGAGGTCAGAAAAGAAGTAGAGAAACTTAAAAGTGACATAAACAGAGCGGAAGAAATTGATAAATTATGTGACGAAGTAGTTGATCTTGACAAGGAGTTGGTTTGGTCAGTTGTAAGTGCGAAATTTAATACGGAAACATATTACTATACATTTTGTCAACTGAGAATAATTAGTATGAAATTCATGTTCCACTGTATAGGCTCTGGCAGAAGAAACAAAATTGCATAAAGTGGAAGAAGTTTTTAAAAAATGCGAAGATAGTCACAAACAACTAGTGGATACTGAGTCCTCTGTGGATTCAAAAAACGAGGAAATAAATAAGAAAATTGCGTACGTATATTATTAAGCACTTGCATTAAGTATTTAACACTAGAACTACCAAAGCAGTCAAAATGACTGGTTAGCATATTCTTATATTGGCAATTAAAATATTACAACACTTTTCTTAGATTTTTCCCAATTTTCATTGCAATTTAAAATTGAAGAAATTAGTTAATTTATAAAATTAAATATTTTCAGTAGTTTGTCATGTTTATCGATCCGATAGAAATAGATATACGTTTATCGTCGGTAGTTGTAGTGTTAACATTGGAAATTCAAGAACATAGTTGTTAGATCTCATACGCCATAAAAATTTATTAGACGTTTCACCATTTCTTTTGTATGTATATAATGTATATTATCTTTTTACAGAGATTTAGAAAAGGAAATTAAAGTCGCAGAGCAGGCAGTCGCCGACGATTCCCAAGAATATAACAAAGTTAAGCAAGACTATAGTACAAATAAAGATACACATTCCATCAAAGCAAGGGAGTGGCGTTCTGCCCAAAGTAAGATTAAGCGATTGGAAGATGATATTAATATGATCAGAAGAGAAATACATCGATTAGAAAGGTTCACTGAATTTTTTTTTCCGCATAATTTCGACGTATCGTAAGCTTGTAACGCGATCATGCAATTTTCAGCGGTGACAATGCAGAACAAAGCGAAAGGAATGAAATGAAACAACAGTTAACAAATTCTGAGCAGAAATTGGACGAAGTGGAAGCTTTATTAAAGACTAAACAGACCCATCAAACGCATTTAGAAACCGATAAAATGCGTTTGCGAAAAGAGATCGAATCTTACAAAATTGAAATAAGCAGCTCCGAAAATCGTATACGTGAGTATCAAACTATTTCTGTAAAGGTGTGAGACAGAGATGGGCAAACTCATTATCTAGATAAAAAGTTTCGAATAACGAATAAAAGATAAAAAAAAGTATTTCGTCATTTTTAATTGTTTAAATGTGGAAATTTCAATTTTTATAATAAAATAATATTTCTTTATGAATGAATCGACATTCGTCGAACAATTATTTAATCACATTGACTGTTTAAAGCTCAGAACGACAGCCTTAGATACGGTTGCTTTTCATTGTGTATTATTCGAATAAAATTCTGCCCAACTCTGGTGTCAGACTTATAGATATGTTAGGATTTCTTTACTATTGAATTTCTGGTGCGGTTGTGTAATAGAATATTGTCGCAAGTAATAAGAAAATAAGGTACAAGGTGTGACAAGTTTCGAGAATAATTTTCTTTGAGCACCACTGAATTAGAAAATGTTTTACTGCTACGAAACTCCTGACGTCTGTCGCCCCACGTATGTCTCCAAGCGGTTCAAGTACGCACCCCTCGCAGTAATTGACGTATCGTAAACTCACGTACTAGGTAGGCACGGTTGGTGTCCTTAACAGATGCGAAAACAGGGGGGTGGACCCGAATTCCTATATTCAGTATTGTGTTTCTTTTACTTGACCGTAGCATCTGGCACGGTAAGTGGAAATCTGTAATTTTAAAAAGTGCCCGCTGAAGGACGCCAAGCTCAACGATTTACCATGTACATTACCACCCGTCGACTATCCCTGTGTACTTAAGAAGCTGAATTTGTAGACCACATTTGCATTTTACGAATTTAAATTGTTCGAAGCTGAACGATTTATAAAATTTACGAAAAGACATCCGACAATATTCACTTGCTAAATTGGTTTCTTATGTTCTTAAATTATATTGTAAATAATTCTGCGATCATACGCTATCCTGAATAGCATCGAGCTTTTAAACAATGAATTTTACCGCTGTAGGTATTTTTGTTTATTTTTGCGAATACATTTGGTACAATCATACTTGGAGTGCAGATACCTGTTGTATTGACTACAATTTTATTTCAGAGAAAATCAAACGTGAAATAACTGTCAGAAAACAGCACGCCGATAACGCGTTGACGGTGTTTGGACGAAACATACCACGTCTCCTGAGAAGGATAGAGGAAGAGTATAATAGTAGACGATTTAAGGAAAAGCCACGGGGCCCACTTGGTATGAAAGTAATTATTTATTGACAATATTATATTAAGTCGATCGACAACAACTTTGAAATTTTCAAGTTTGCAACGATTTTTTTTGTGGACGTTAACGGGCTAATATTCTAGGAACGTTCTGTATTCTGCAAAGTTTAGTTCTATCTGCGATTTTTCCTTGTTAGTTTCCAAATATGTACAGTGGATAAAAAAAGTATTGGTACACCTTTTAAAACAGAACAATTCTTCCCAGATTGAACCAAGTGATTTGAGTTCCTTTGTGAAGTTAGAGACATTAGTTTACTAAATGATGTGTTAAAAAAATTTTGAAAAATTTGCCACTTTTCAGAATGTCGAAGAAAATAGTAAATGTCGTTTTTTTACAAGTTTTTTGTTTGAAAATAATGAAAATTTAATAAACACAATTCGAAGATTTATGTTAGTTATATACATGCTGAAACTTTTATTGAAATCGGTTCATACAGAAACGAGTAATAGGCATCGAAAGATGTAAGAATCTTTAGATGTACTACAGTTGTAGGTCAAAAGTTGAAAAAACTGCGATTTTCAACATTTTTAACCGTTTCTACCTCATAACAATGTTAACCGATTTCGATGAAATGTTCAGCATGCATATAACTAATATAAATCTAAGCAATGTATTTGTTAAATTTTCATTACAATGTCAGATAAACAAGTCGCAAAAAGCGAACTTCACTATTTTCTTCGCGATTCCGACCAATTGCAACTTTTTCAACATTTTGTTAACACATCATTTAGTACATTAGAACTTCTAAGTTCATAAAGAAACTGAAGTCACTTGGTCCAATCTTGAAAGAATTGTTCTGTTTTAAAGGGTGTACGAATATTTTTTTTACCCACTGTCAAATGATGGATTCCAGAATGACTATTTTACCATTACTGAAATTATAATGGTGCTTTTGATGGAATTTATGTTAGCTTTGAATTTACAGCAGATTTTATTTTATGGTGCATTATGCTAGATTGTCCTATACAGGGTGGGTCAATAACTACGTCCACTTTGAATATTGCCTGTATTTGTAATAATACGAAAAAATCTTATATACAAAACTTACACGGTATACAGCAGGGCATATTGTGACACAAACATTTTCTGCGTGGGTGAGGGTATAGAGGAGATTTCAAGGTCATCTCCTTGTTCCCTATTTTTTTTTAATGAAATGCTATGTTTTTTTATCGCGATGTGATAGCCGGTGCTGAGACGACGTCAGCGAGCTATCATTGAAGGTCATGCAAGGTCAAATGTGGTAGTAAAATAAACTTTCTTACATTAAAGGAAATGCTCGAATTGGTGACCGTTTGCGTCAATGCAAAGTTGCAATCTTCGTATCGCTACATCAGTCAAGTTTATTTTACTACCAAATTTGACCTTGCATGACCTTCAATGATAGCTCGTTGAAGTCGCCTCAACACCGGCCATCACATCGCGATAAAAAAAACAGCATTCCATTAAAAGAAATAGAGATGACCTTGAAATCTCCTCTATGCCTTCACCCACACAGAAAATGTTTGTGTCATAATATGCCCCCTTCTATACAGTGTAAGTTTTATATATAACATTTTTTCGTATTATTACAAATACAGGCAATATTCAAAGTGGACATAGTTATTGCCCCACCCTGTATATTATAGTATTATACAATTTAATTTAGTATACATTCAATGCTGGCAGTTCTATTGTTAAAGATGCTACGTACTTAAGAACTGGTGAACGGCATAGAAAAGTATTTATCACAAAGATTGCGTTAATACTATCCAGTACAGTTGCATGAATCTTTATGCATTGAGCGCATCTGTGTTTAGGGGCGTACATAAAAATGAAGGATCCAGCATGGGCACCAGCGGTTGAAGATTATTTGGGAGCTGGTACCTTCAGTACATTTTGTGTAGACAACAGTCACGATGCCAAATTATTGAACACGATTATGAGGGAGATTTATCTGAACGAACGAACACCACAGATAATATGCAGCAAATTCTATAACAAAGTGAGTAAATTGTTTATAAAATGTGTGTGTGTGTTGGTTCGATCGTGTTGCTTAATTATATATTTGCGTTTGTAGGTTCATAATGTCGAAGCTCATTGTACACGGTCACCCAACTATTCTAATCTCTTAGATGCAATGGAGATATCAGATCCTGTTGTTGCCAACTGTCTGATCGATCAACGCGAGGTTGAATGCGTTTTACTAATCCCAACCAGTAAGGAAGCAGCTGACATAATGTCTGATGCTTCGAAAGTCCCGCGAAATTGCAAGAGAGCCTTTACTCAACAAGCCGACACATTTTACCCAGACCCATATTATAGGAGTTACGGTGGACCGAGGGGCTTGAAAGCCAGATTTCTTCAAGTTTCTGTTTCGGACGCAATTAAGTATGAATTCGTCTTTTTAAATATATAATTCTTTTATTAGTATTGTAAACAGTGTGTTCTATTCACTAGTATATTGGAGGAAGAAATTCGTATGATAGATAGCGAAAGGAAAGCAGCTGCTCAGTCATACGCCACAGCTTGCGAAAAGGAAAAACGTACAAATTCTGAATTGGCATCTGTCAGTGCCCAGGTTAGGAAACTTAACAGTGTCCAAAGTCAGTATAAAGGACAAATTAATGATTTGAAAGATAAGATTGAAGCCAATGAAGCGATATCCATTACAGTATTTGTGAGTACTCCAACCTTCAATAAGTTGTTTATGTATTATTTACAAACAGGTGTAAACAATGAAATGTATTGTGTATAGAAAAACGAATTAAACGAGTTGGAGAAGAAGTTAGACGAAGAAAAATGCGAAGAGTCTCGTTTGAATAATAGTGTTCAGGAACTTCAGAAAAAAGTAAATGATTTGGAGGCAGAGATTAGGCGTCACAGAGAATTAAGGCAGAGCCTGGATTCGAAGATCAGCCCACTAAAGGTACTCTTGTACATAGATTTTGTGTTGGTACTCTATCCTAATGTATACTCATAATTCCTTATTTAGGCAAGTATACAACAACTGCAAGACGAGAAGGAAGCGTTGCGAGTAAAGAGTCGACATTCTGCGAAAAGGTTACAGGCGCTCCGCCAAGCCTTGCAAAATGCAACTGCAGAACTCGAAATGCAACAGAGGGCTACGCAAAAGGCAGTGTCAGATGCTACGAATAAATGTGATAGAATTGAAACTGCAAGGTTCGTGCGCTTAAATAATATTTCTTTCTTATGGGAAACGAATTTGTTCATACTCCGAACAATAATTCGTCTATCAGGTTTTTAATTGTATAAGTATTTTGCGTTCTGTGGAAAACCTTCATTATTAAAACAGTATATAATTAATATGTAGTAATACATAATATAATGAAACGAAATATAATTATTTTTGCAGATCTCCCAATGAACTTGACAGACTGGCCAGAGATTTGAAATCGAAAATTCGCGAAATAGAACGACAGTTTGGTACTATAGAAAAACTGCGTAAAGAATTAAAAGAAAAGGAAGCGAAATGTGGAAAAGATTTACGTTTGGCTTCTAAAATTGAGGAAAGTCATCAAGTAAGTTATCATGTTCCAAATTTCTATTTTCACAGAATGTGTGTTTATTATTATACTTTAAATTCCTTTACGATTAGAAAATATTTAACACGTACAGTTTTTTCATAATTTCAAGATTATTATTATTTTTAGTAAAATCACATATTCGCTATTCACATCACAGTGGATAGTGATTCTTAAAAAAACTGTATGATTTAAAAATTTTGAATGTCGTAGCTGCCAAAACATTTTATCCCATCTAAAATCCAATAAAAATCTTAACTTTAACACTAGAACTACCAAACCAGTCAAAATAACTGGTCAATAGACTCTTACAACGACGATTAAAATATTACGGCAATACATTTTCTCAGATGTTTTGCACCTGTTATTATGATATGAAAGTGAAGAAATTAGTCAATTTCTAAATTTCTAAATTTTCAAAAGTTTTTCATGTTTATCCACCGATTGAAGGAAATATGCGTTTATCGTCGGTAGTTCTAGTGTTAAAATATTTTTTCTTTTATTAATAGTAACAAAGATATTTGAAGTGAACCAATTACTATTTATGTAAATCTCCGAGTATTTATCTATGTATGTGTATTTATATTGCAGGTACATCTTCAACGTTTACGAACGCGAAAGCAATTATTTTCTGAAATGAAAGATAGTTATGGAGTCAGCATACAACATTCTTTTTCGAACGTACTCGCCTTACGGAACAAAAAGGTACATATGAACCGGTGTTGGATATTAGGATAAAAAGTTTCGTTTATGTTACGTATCTTACATTACATGGTTTTACCAGGGTACCATAAGTATCGACCATGGCAGGAGAATACTTGAACTTGAAGTGAATTCGCAGAACGACAATAAAAGGTCAACCAATGATGCAAGATCATTATCCGGCGGTGAAAGGTCTTATTCGACCGTTGCTTTTATTTTAGCGCTTTGGGACTGTACCGGTTTGCCTTTTTATTTCCTCGATGAATTCGACGTTTTTATGGTACGTATGTTGTTTACGAAAGTTAAGGTATCATTGCGTACATAGAAAGGTATGGTGATTATTAATGATTATTGGAATCAGGATAAGGTAAACCGGCGAATCATAATGGACATTCTTTTGGATCATACCAAGATGCATCCGCAAAGTCAGTTCACATTTCTGACTCCACTGGATACATCTAACGTCCTTGCAGAAGACTACGTAACTATACATCAGTGAGTATAGTCGAAGTTTAAGTAAAATGTTTGAAGTTTCATAAAGTAATTTAGAATATTTACAAATAGTTTAGACATTTTGTTATCAATAACATTATCTGTGTGTTGTAATTTTAAGGTTAGCGCCGCCAGAAAGAGGAAGTCAGGATCAAGCTACTGTTTAGTTATATATTACTATTTTATAAACAACTTCAGTTATTATTCTCAGGATACACGGACAACTTAGTAACATGGTCGATATTGTTAAAACGTGACGTAGAGTCACTATTAAGTGAAAATAGTATATTTATACTGTTGTGGCATCACTAAAATTAAAAAGTGTTATTTATGAATATTAAATTTAAGTATTATTCGTAACTTAATGCAGATAAATTTCAGTCGATTCATAGTTGATAAAATATTAGTTTATTTTCTATGTAGCTAAAAAACGTTTTCCTTGTAAAGAAAGTCTACATAGATATGTACAAGGTGTGCAAAAACATATTTTCATAAGTACAAATAATATATTTATATTGATAGTATTGTTAACTAAAATATTGTTTACGTTGTATTTTTTTAATAAAATATGACAAAATCTGAATTATTTTCATGATTTTCAATAACAAAATTTGCTAGGCATTTATTGAAATTAAATTAATAGGTAAGTAAATGCAGATTGTAATTGTACTTGATACATCACACAAACCACATTTTGTGAATTTGTATTTCCACATGTAGGTATCATCGATAAATATTCCAATCAAGGGACCTTCCTACATTTACCCCTATAAAAATCCTTTACGGATCTTCTTTAGGAAAGCATAAGTTGCAGTCTTCTGAAATTTGGTAGATGCTTAATTAAAATTCTTTAGCAAGCCATTTGAATTTTTGTAGCTAAAAATTGCGGAGGTATAATAGTGCTACCGTGTGTACCCTAACTTCTTTAAAAAGATACTCTCAACATAGAAATAGTGATTATTTTTTAATTTGAATTTTCTACCATGTTATTTAGTGACACTGGTCTGGGATTATTAAGGAATTTTGTATTTTAACTTACAACGTTACAACCGCCTAACAAAAGCATTATTTCTTATTCCTGAGGTTAGGTTACCGGTAACCATTATGGCGGACATGTTGATACCAGTGATGTCACTCTCATGGGACCGGTTGATCCCCTAGTGATTCGACGTTCTTTCCATATGGTTTCATTCAAAGTCTTGTAAGTTAATCGATACTACGTATTTTTTAATGAAAACTTACTAATACATTTTATACATTCCATACTTTCAAGAATCGCAAGAAACAAAAATTCAATTTTCGCAACCCTCAACAGAAGATAGACCTCCGAGTAGGGTGGCATATAATAGGGTAAATTATACTTTCTTCAAATATTTTTTACAATTTGATGCCTTATTTGAATACAGTGTAGCCAATAAGTTGACAGAAGCTGTGGATTCGTTTAATACGTTCGTCACCCAGCGTGATTCAGTTGAGTTTTTCGCGGGGCCCAAATACGACTGTCGGAGCGCCAGAACGTAAACAGAGCGATAAGCGGGAATACCAACGATGAATTGAAAAAAAAAAGACCGCATTGAACAAGAAGAACGTCACCCATATCTGGGTGACGGGGCCCCCACGGAGGCATACCCATCACTCAAATATGGGTGACGTGGCGACAAACGTGTTAATATCGTTTTGCGGCGGTATTCTAACCAAAATTTCTTTTCAAGCAACAGAAATTCTCTCTCTATCGCGTTACATTTGCTGTAACGGAATCAATTACGACCATTACAGAGACAATAAAGATGTAACCGCAGCCACGAAGCAGGGTATTATACTGGATCGTAAGTGGATCAAGGTCCGCACCGTGTTGCGCGAATCTGGTTTGCCCGGAGTTCCCGATTAACGCAACGACTGATTTCGTGGGTCTTACGTGCATCGCACGCGGCGACGCGCACAATGCGTGTCCGAGGCGTGGTTGCCTGTTACGTAACGAGCGGAGAAAGTGTAGGAGAACGCGACGCCTGTCCGTGAATTGTTAAATAAAAAAGAAAAAAAGGCGGTACCTTTTAACGAGCGAAACTGTGGATATAACGACCCGTGTTATTGTTTACCCACCGTTCTCAACGGTCTGTTCGTTCGATCGACGCTTTTTTTGCCCCCGATGATTACGCTTCTTGCGGATCTTTTAACCCTTCGGTGGCCTTTGACGTTCGAATTATATGGAAACTGGACCGAGCCCAGTCTTTTTACGGCCTTTACACTCGCTTTGTATACAGGGTGTCCTGTGACAGGTGTTACAACTTCAAACAGGGGCGAACCGGCGAATGTGCCTTCTTTGTGTATATTTAATATATGGGGTGCCCTGTAAGTTTTGTAAGAATCAGAAAGGATTTTCAAAAGAGCGAAGTTTTTAAGTATGTCTGGTATTGTATCCAGGTGTTATTCTTTAGTTCCATTTGTAGGAAACATTGAACGTGGTCGCAGTACCTATTCTACTGACCACGTACTCTTCTATCAATTTACACTAAATTATTCTAGAGACTGAACCATATCGCAAACAATGTTTATAATAGTTACAAAGAAGCATTTTGATAAAATGTAGAAGATTAATAAGTATGTATATACATACGAAGTTTCTTTCATGCCGTGTTACGCTTTCCTGCTAATAAAGTATACTCGATACAAGTCTGACATATGCAAATATCGATATATCGATTCATGAATATCGATATTTTGTATTGATATTTTAGCAATGATACACTGGTGTATCGATACTCCACGGCTCGATATTGCCCTTCGATATGAATGTATAGATCTTGGAAATATTCTAAAGTATGTGTATTTAATTACGTGGTTTTTAAGATCAAAAAAAGAGTAAACGCAGTATATATAACAATATAATGCGTCAACGAGTGTTTTACTTGATTTTATATAAGTCAAAAAAGGAATACTTTTTTACTGTTTTCTTTTTGCCTTTCTTTTTACTAATATCGTATCGATATACCGATATATGATGCATATATGCACCAATATCGATATTTTCTGTCCGATATATTGATGCATCGATACCAAAAAAATCAATACGTATCGATACTTTTGAATATAACGGGCATCCCTGTTTCCCGCGGACCTTTGAACCCCTTCGTGGCCTTCGATTCTCGAATTACATGGAAACTGGACCGAGTCCGGTCTTCTTATGGGATTTTATGAAATAGCTTGATATAGGAGAAACAAAGTAATTTTTATTCAATTACTGAGCCATTACTTTAAACCCTCTGACAGACTGCATACATATATGAATGTTCTATTTTTTATGATATTTTTGAGTTTTTATCATTTTCTATGGTTAATTACATAAAAATTAAATGACCTCTCAAGGTCACTAACGGTTATTCTTACCACGCTATTAAGATGCTTCGCCTCTTTATGCGTCACGCTTTCGCTCCGATCGACATGTACACTTGAGAAATGGAAAGCACTGGCATGCAGGTCTAGGCTCTCTATCTTTTACTAACGTCAGTTAGAATGGCGTAACAATAGAAGTCGTGCGTAGTGTATAATTCACGGTTGGGAAAGTGGCCTTGAACGGCCAATCGGGTTTGATTTGCATTGATCGTAATTGTGCGTTCAGCTTCATATATAGGGTGTTTTGTAAGTACTGTATGAATTCGTTAGGGGTTGAATTTATGCCTTCGTTTCAGATATTTAATATACAGGGTGATCTATGAGTAGTGCTACAATCTGGTAGCATTACTTTCTATATATTTCATATACCGGGTGCCCAATTAAATATTATTGCAACCCGGATGAGACTGTCCTTTATTCCTATTTTCATATGCAGGGTGTTCTGTAAGTGCTGTTACAATCCCTAATGTACTTATGTATCCGTGTATTTAATATACAAGGTGTCCTGTAATAGTTATTAAAATTCAAATCATGTGAATCTGTGAGTACTTGCAGGATTTATAGAACCTACGCAACACCTGTATATTAACCTTCACACCACGATGTTTTGGATCCAATCGTTCTTTTAATTTGCACTCTCCAATTCTCCGTAACAATCTACTACATATATGAAAGTATATTTCAATGAAATTTGTTTTTTTGCAATAGAACTCCTAGATTACTAGTCTACTTTTGTTTACCCAACAAAACTATTCTGACCAAATTTTTGTAAGCATTAAAGGGCAGCAGCCATCTTCCTTTACATTATTCGAATTTGGAGAAGAACGGACTAGATGGCGCTGGTAGCGTAAATACTCAAACAAACACACTTCAAAGCTCAGTTGTTTGAAACAGTCAACCACAAAAGCTTAATTGGTCGAAACACATTTCACATAAGGTGTAACTTCCTTCCAGCTTCAAACCCGTGTATTTGCGCCTAAATTGGACTGAGGCAGGTGTTCAACGTCGAAAAACAATGGAGTGAAATGAGAAACATATACGTTCTTTCACTTCGTTCAACGCAGACTTAATTATTAGAAATTTCACCTTTAGTGAAACCACCAACAGTGAAGTGAATAAGACATCAAAAGTATAACATAATTGAAATAAAATAATATTTTGACACATTTTGTACGAAAAGATGTCTATGCAACTAGGCATTTCTTTTTATTGTAAAATCCCTTGCTTCAAAGAGGTGAGTATAACCGGGCCTATAAAGGTTTTATGAAAGGGTTTCTAAAGCTTTTACCGGCCCTGACCATAACCCAGTGTGGTCTTTGAGGGTTAAGCACGTACATACAATAAATCCCCGATGAGTGTTCGAAGGCCTCTCGGCACTGACAAAGTGAGTACTCAGTTGTAACGCTGACTTTTTAATATATCTGTGACTTTATGAGATACCCATATACCCCTGCGATACCCGGTTATCGAAAAATTACCTGGGTATCTCAGGTACCGGGGTAAAAGTAATAGACCTACTTTTTAAAGAGGTTTGACACGGCGATACAGCTTGGAATTCCGAAGTCAATGATACTTGTTTCAGTCGGATACAGCCATTAGTCTACGAAATATTTAATGTTTAGAACCAAGAAGCCTTCGAGCAGTCATCGAGGATGTACTGTACATACGGCGGAGATTATTAAATAAAGAAAACGTCCTTCGATGTGTTACTTGCTAAAAAAAACCAACTTTATTCGAGCAAACATTATACTAAAGTGTGGACAGATCGGGTTCAGTGGATGTAGGCGGCCGGGGCGGGAGCGGCGTAGGAAAGGGACGCGGCTGGTGCGGAATAGGCGACTTGGGCGGGTGCGGCGTAGGCAAATGGAGCGGCGATTTTCGCTACCGGGGCGGCATAGGCGAGCGGCGCTGCGTATTTGGCGACTGGAGCGGCGTAGGCGAGGGGGGCGGCGATCTTTGCGACTGGAGCGGCGTAGGCGAGGGGGGCGGCGATTTTGGCGACTGGGGTGGCGAGTTTCGCGACTGGTGCGGCGGCGATCAGAGGAGCAGCGGCGGCCTCCTTGCGGACGACTGCGTTGAATCCGTTCACCGGGTCGGCGGTGTAGTCGACGGTGCGTCTGGTGCCGTCAGGCTCGATCAGGGAGTAACTGCCCTGCACGACGTCACCGTCGCGGGACTCCTGCTGGCTCTTTGCGTCGCCGGTCAGGCTGTCGTGGACGTCATAGGCGTAGCTGTATTGAGGATGGGGGTCGTAGTCGGCGTCCACAGTCTTCGCCACGGGGGCCACAGCCAAGGCTTTCGCCACGGGGGCTACAGCCACGGGCGCGGATGCGTAGGCCAGCTGAGCCGGCTGGGCGTACGCCAGATGAGCCGGCTGGGCGTAGGACAGCTGAGCGGGCAGCACACCGGCGTTGGCGGTGGCCAAAAGGGCGGCGAGGGCGACGAACTGCGGAACAGAAATTATAGTGCCTTTGTTAGAACAAATATATATTACGGAAGCAGGTAGGAGAACGGGACGTGATTATTCACGGGAGTAGGGTAAACTCATCAATGAATGAACACTTAAAGAAATTTTGTAAGTGTTAAATAGTGAATTTTAAATGATAATAATGTTAATAATTTTTTTTAGCACCATGAAGATTCGATTTTTCGATATCTATACGGTTTTGCAGAATTGGAAGGAACAGTGTTATGTAAATGAACGTTTACTAACCGGTGGCGCGAAACTTGTTCAGATATGAAACTAGTTAAGAGATTTTGTAACTATTAAAGTCGAATTTTATAATAATAATATTAATAGATATTTAACACATGAAAATTAGATTTTTCAATATTTATACGTTTTCGAAGAATTGGAAGGAACAATATAAAGACAATATTAAGAATTGAATGAGCAGTATTAAGTAACTGAACGTTTAACCGGTGGCGCGAAAATTGTTCGAATATAAACCAACGAATTGAAAAAATCAATACTTAATCATTGCCTTATTTTAATAACTCAAATTACTCGGTTTTTATATATAATGTTAATTTACTGGCGCATTCACCCTGATACAGTAAAATTTGGATTAGTGTCCGAATCTACAGCGTAAGTACCCGGTGTGCATCTCCATTGAGGGGTGATTCCCCTTGATGCACCGTGAGGCTCACAAGGGAATACCACAAACGCTGACTCGCGGATTGGACTGAAACTTTGTAGGCTTATAGAGTGATTCAACACAAGAATAACTGTATGTTTCATTCGTGCCAAATCGTTCTTTAAGCGTGTGAAAACTAACCACAAAGTCAAGTAGACCCCCCCACTTCTTCACGGATAACTCTTAAAGTACAAGAGATAGAAAAAAATGTTTCAAACGATAGTTTAATGGTACAATAAGCACTACAAACTGGGGTTAATAAAATTTTAAAATAAAATTTGTTCTTAAAAAGAACCTTTAAAAAAGCTGTCTTCACAATTTTGTTAATACAATATTATAGCGCTAATTGTACCAATAAACTTTTGCTTGAAACATTTTTTTCTATTTTTTGTACTTTAAGTGCTATACGCGAAAAAGTGGGAGGGCCGATTTGACTTTGAGGTTAGTTTCCACAACTCTATAGGGCGATTGAACACGAATGATGTATACCGTTATTCTTGTCTTGAATCACTCTATAAATCCACAAAGTTTCATTCCAATCTGTGAGTCAGCGTTCGCGGTGTTCTCTTGTCAGTCCCTCTTTCACTCTTTAAGTCTTTTCTAACGTTCGGCGTTAATTCGATATTTAGAATGATCTTTCTACTACATAAGCGCCCCCTGACTTCTGTCTTACTTTCGGACAGTAATCCAAGTTTTACTGTACATTTGGGAGTGACGCAAGAACGGAAACGGAGAAACCAGACGTTACGTATTATATATATTAATGTATTAAGAGATTTTATAGATATAAATGTATATATTTCCCGACAGATATGTTGATGAAAGTGTCGCTGCTACCGAAACCGTATGAATGGGATGATCGAAACGGTGGACGTGCGTGTTCCACTTTCGAGCTGGCGAAATGAAAAAGTACAGTTCGACCGAGAACAGTCGAATAAAGGCTAATTTTCGTATGTGTACGTTTGAGAAAGGAAAAAAAATTGTGAAAACAGAGTAAGATCGCGGAGAATCGAGAAAATTACAGTATCCAGAATGAGAGTACGATGAGGTGATTAACACTACCAAAGTACTCAAAATGACTGGTTCGTAAACTCTTATATAACAATCATTAACCCCTTGCCTCACGATTGTTTCGATGACTGCAGAATTACTTGATAATTAATAATTTAAATTCTATACAGTATCGCGAGTTTGCGTTAAGTTTGTTCACGAAAGGCTATATCACGTCTATTTCATCGAATTTATTTACCAAAATGCGAAATATTATTTGAAAAACTTAAGGAAAATCTATCGTAAGAGGATGATAAAAGTTAACGATAAGGAAAATATGTAAATGGAAATTGCATAAATGTTTCGACACGTAATTGTTATTTCAGAAGTATCCGAACAAACGTACTGTATTAATATTGGTAAAATAGTATTTCACTTCGACTACAAGAAAAACGACGTTACAAAGGCAAGCGGTTAAAATGCAAAGTATTTTCTCGGAGATTCTTGAATTTTTATAAATGAAAACGTTCGTTAATTTCTCGATTTAAATATTTTCTAATAAACCACCCCTTTTTTGATAAAGTGATACAAATAGAAAGATCGATTCTAGTTGTTAACCCTTTAACGCCCAATCCTTTAATTTGTAATTTCAAAATTACCTCTTCTTTGTAAGTAATAGTTATCTACTTTACTAGCTCGAGATATACGAATGATAATGAAATCTTTGAAAAATGTTAATTCTTCGATATTTTCTACTTAAAGGTTGATATTTGTTGGCTTCACGTTATGAAAATTTTTCTTTTAAATGTCGCGAAAACAAATTTGGCCTACCAAGGGTTAATGATATCGGTTTGGTTTTTCGATATACCTTGAATGCCATTGTAGCTTGCTCGATCAGGTAGATCTTCACGATCTCTGTTCTGTCTGTCTCTGTGATGCGAGTGATACCATGCTCGGGTGGTTTTCGGCTTTTATAGCGGCGCGCGACGGCACACGGGCCCCCGCGGTAGGACCCAGAATCGCGTGACGTAACTGGGTGACGGTACACCATCGACGGTCACCCGATTCGCGGCCGGGCCGAGTGGTGTAAAATTGAGCAAGAAATCGGTGGACCACGCCCAACACGAACAATTCGAACGCATCGTCGGGGGACCATCGTGTGGAACCGACCGTCGCCGTGGACTAGGCCACGTCCTTGTCACGAGTTACTTAATTCTTCCTCGGACCCTATACGTTCGAGGGAAACGGCACAGTCTGTCGTCTCGACTCTTCCCTCCGCACAGATTGTCGATTACTTGATTAACTATAGAGATTATTATTTAAGGTGTTACATACCTTTGAGCTGTTAAATAAGAAGGAAAATTAAACAATTTTTTTATGTATACAGAATTATTGTTAAAAATTCAACATATACATCTTATTATATGTTATTTTTCTTGTAATTTTAAAAAAAGTTGAGCTATATATCTATCAACAGAAGAAACTGGCTGCCATTTAGCCCCTTACTCTACGATTTTCTTGACGTCCGCAGACTCCTGGATTACATTGTTGTCGACAGTTTCTCAAAAACGGAAGGAATTTTGTACTTATCGTAACTGCATGTTTACTGTAATAGTTAAGTATTAATGCCTGCAACGTGGCATTACATCTCGACTCAAAGGAAACCAAATAATATTCTTCTTTGTTGAATCGATTTTGAAATCGTTAACACGAGTCTGACTCGATGTTATAGGGCAAGGTGTTAAAAGCGTTTTACCCGGAATGCAGTTTTCAAAATCGGTACCAGACATATAAAAGACTACTGAACCAATTTGAAATCGATTTTGTGGTAATATTTTCAAGACTAAAATCTAGTACTTGACGAAGTGAATCTTTTATTCCTGCAGTTTTTCTTTTTTTAGTAAAAAAAGAAGTTGAGATTTATGTCGGAATAAACTACAAACGTAAGTTTAAGCAGCCGCCATTTTGTAAAATATTGATATTATCGAAATCGGGGTGTTTAAATAGGTACCCGGTTTTAATCTCACCTATGGGGTAAGATCGGGTACTTGGATACCTTCGAAAAATCTTGTTTCCCTGTGAGCCAAATAATTTTTTCAATTAAGATTTCTAGCAGCGTTCAAATTTTTACTATATACATTACGTACCCGGGTTTACCCTACTTTCCCCTATACTATTATCAGGAAAATTCTCGAGAATTCTCCAGAAATACAGAATGAAATTTCTTTTCTCGAGAAATGAAAAGTATCGAGACATCAGAAACATTATATTTCACTGGTTTTCGAGAAAAACTTAATAAAGCCGCTGCTATATTGTACAATCGTTCGTTAACAATTTAGAGACTGATGGGACAATACGTCCCAAGCTAACAATTATAATGTCTGATATGATATATGCTCCCAAATTCAATTATTTGGTCAAGGTGGTTCAGGCTGTTATGTTGGACTCGGTATTAAATTTATTTTACAACTTACCATTCGTAATATTATAATTAATTACCTTATCCTATAAACCGTTTGCCTTTGTTAAACATTGAGACTTATATATTGGGACATTATGATTCCATAGTAAAGGACGAATGGGACTATATGTATATTCCATTTTTACAATAATGCCAACCTATATTTTTATAAATACCACTTCATATAGTTTTTTGGTAGCCACGACAAATGAACTATCTTAGAGAATTGCATTGTTATAGATTGATACATTAAGGGCGTATAAAACAATTCATATTAAAACTTTCTTCGTTATATTTCACATTCGAACATTTAACCTCGGAACGTGTCACTTTATTATCGAAATAGTTCACTTAGATAATATATCGAAACTTCGTATATATCGAGAGGATCGAGTCTCACGATTCGAGACCTCGTTCAAACGTTCTCGACGTTAACTGCGTTGTTGTCAGTTATAATGTAATACGTGTATTAATATAAATATCTCTTCGTATAGTTTTTTGGGTAGCCACGAGAAATGAACTACCTTGCATAATTGCATTGTTATTAGAGATTGATACATTAAGGACGTATAAAACAATTCATAGTAAAACTTTCTTCGTTATATTTTACATTCGAACATTTAACCTCGGAACGTGTCACTTTATTATCGAAATAGTTCACTTCGATAATATATCGAAACTTCGTACATATCGAGAGGATCGAGTCTCACGATTCGAGACCTCGTTCAAATGATTTCAACGTTCATAAGTTAGAAGTTAATTACTCAGTGTATGTGCCGCGTTGTAATCGTTCGAATAATCGTAATAAAATTCGAGAAATACATGCATACTTTATAATGTCAGTTGATTGGTTAACGGCGATCACCGCGACTCGTGACGCCCCACGTGAAACGAACGAATTATTTATTCGCTGCGTGGTAATTCACCACGGGTTCGGGAGACGTAATAAACCAAAATTTCGTTCGGCGACCTTGACTTCGTCCCATAATTGGCGGAATCAACTGGTTATTTTCGCGAGTATTGAAAAGAAATAAGATGACCAGATTACCTGCTCGTGATGTAATAGGTCGATGACGTAATACCGTAGTAGGTTCGATGCACATCGAGAAATTCGATTGGTATCAATATGCACAGTTACAGTTACACATCGCGAATGTGTATCGAAACCGTTTCACAGTTTTCACGGCATATTTCGAGTGTTGGATTAATATTAAATTTGAAAGTAACGGTTATGTAATTGTGGCTGTGGACTTTTATGCAGAATGATATTTTATAAAGTCATTCGTGAAGTCACGACCAGAAATTGGGAAATTATTTCTATTCTTAATTATGGAACACTGGAACGGGAAATATATACGGCGCCTCAAGGGAAGATGACTGTAAACTGTTTTGTAATGTATATTGTTTCTTTTTAAATGTGTGCTTTGTCTCTAATTTAACATAAACGATTTTTAAAAATTTCGATGTTGATAAAGTTAGTAGAAAAAATACATACAGGGTTGGCAGCACGTAAATGGAACTGCTTCGATACGTGCGTAACTAATGATTTCAGTGAAAAATGATGCAGATATGGAACCTAATTTTTCAATTTTTGAAACTCGAATCCGAAACTTTGCAAGATTTCGATACTCGCAAAACTATCAAAACTCGAAACTCTCGAAACTTGAAGCGGTAATTTTGTTTACCAATTTTAAAAATTCAATTTTTATAATGAAATAATGACATAATACTTCTTCCCCAATGAGTCGATATTTGGCAAACAATTATTTAACCTCGTTAACTGTTTAAAGCTCAGAACCCTTAGATCCTGCAGCTTTTCACTATGTATTATTCGAATTAAATCCTGCTCGACTCCGGTTAACATATATTATATTAATAAAACAGAACTTCGCATTCATTTTCCTTCGATATAAGTAGGTATCGATATTTTTGATGCGATATACTAACAAGGAAACACCGCGAATGCTGACTCGCGTATTGGAATGAAACATTGTGGGCTTATAGAGTAATTCAACACAAGAATAACTGTATGTCTCATTCGTGCTCAATCACTCTTTAAGGACGTGAAAACTAACCTCAAAGTGAAATAGGCATTCTCCCTTTTTGCGTATAACTCTTAAAGTACAAGAGATAGAAAAAAAGTCTCAAACAAAAGTTTAATGGTATAATAAGCGCTCAAAACTTGCACTAACAAAATTTTGAGAATAGTTTTTTAAAATTTCATTTTCAAGAAAAAAAGCATTTTTCAAAATCTTGTTAACACAAGTTTATAATGCTTAGTATACCATTAAACTTTTATTCGAAACATTTATTTCTATGTCTTGTACTTTAAGAGTTATACGCAAAAAAGTGGGAGTGCCTAATTGACTTTGAGGTTAGTTTTCTCACCCTTACAGGGCGATTAGGCACAAATAAAGCATACCCTTATTTTTGTCTTCAATCACTCTATAAACCCAGAAAATTTCATTCCATTCCGTGAGTCAGCTCTCGCGGTGTTCCCCTGTAAGAAGATATCGATACTTTTTTGATAAATTTTTTTGATCGGTTTATCCCTACGCGTGGGGCCCGTTCGTACATTTTTTTCCGAGGAAAAAGGGTCAGTTTAATAGGACGCATTGAAATTCGTACGGTTGTCGGGCAACAAGTGCGGAAGACCTAAATACGAGTTGCGTGACATTGATTTCGACGAAGTAGGAGGGGGGGGGGCTGGTTCGCGAACCTCGAAGCGACACGACGGCGGCACCCCTCGAGTCGAACAGAAGCCGGAGGTGTCTCGGATCCTGGATCTGGATCTACCGTCGATCGCCCCGGGCCAACCGTCGATCGATCGATCGATCGATCGATCCGATCCGATCGAGGCGGTTTCGGCTGGCCCGGGGCCGGACTATTTTTTTTCGTTTTTTTTTCTTTATGAAAGTGCTCCACTTCTGTTTGCCCGGTAACGTTAGATGTGACGCAACGATCCAGGTAGATCCGAATACGTATCCGTTCGAAAGTTTCGCGACGGGCCTTGTGTACAGGGTGTATCAAAAGATTGGGTCACGAAAAAATTTCGTTACAGGTTAAGTACACCTCGATGAATGAACACTAGAGAGTATTTGTAACTATTGAAGTCGAATTTTAAATGATAGATGTGTTAATGAATGTGATTTAATATGTGTATTTAATATTTATACCGTTTTCATAACGTGTAGATTTTAATTTCAAAAATTGGAAAATTATATTGAAAAGAAAAAATACAGATTTCACTGATGAATAAACAATAGTAAGTAAATGGACATATTTAACCGGTGGCGCGAAAATTGTTCGAGTATAAAACAAGGAATTGAGAAAAATCAATATTTAATCATTTCCTTATTTTAGTAACTTAATTTACTCGTTCTTGTACATATATGTATATACAGTGTGTCCCATTTAAA